TCCTGAGTGTCGAAGGCGCGGCGTGTGAATAAATGGCGAGGCGGTCCCACGCGAAAGCGCGATTTTTAAATTCATTGTGAGGACGTCCCGCGCGAGAGTGTAATCCTGGAGTGAACTGTGGGGAAAAATCAGGCGGGAGCGGTTGTCTTTGGTAAACACGGGGTCAGGGCCGCAATTTGGTGACACCTCGTTTCCCCTTTTTCAAAAAAAAAGGTGCGAGCCCCAGGAAGGGCACTTCAATTGAATCATCCAATAATCACTGGGCAAGGGGATCAACAATGATTATTTCTGAGCTGAGCCGTGGAAATTCAACAACAACAATTACAACAACGCCACCACCACCACCATCAACAACAGCACTCAATATAATATTGTTCGCTTTTACCTGCTCGCGTGCCATTCAACACGTATATCCCGAACCCTCGATATCCACCCTCATCGTCCTCGATCGTACCCTCTTGGACCTGTATCTTACTTACCTGCAACGTGTATTTCGTGCAGCTCCTAAGGCAAGGGAACAAGAAGACGGATGGAAGGAAGGGACAAGGGGGAATGAGGAGGAAGCACAAGAGAGAGCAGCAAGAGGGGGCCAGGAGCAGAAGACACGTGGCAGAACCAACTAGGCTGATCGGGCGGGTGGACCCTCACGGGCGGGTGGGGAAGGCGGGCCTAGGCGGCCAGGTCGAGCAGGCGAGTTGCTGAAGCGTGCGCCCTGCACGAATTCCTAGGAAGTCTCAGGCGCGAATCCCAAGTAATTCGTGAGACAAGCCAAAGCGAGAGCGTGAATCATGAGTGTCGAGGGCGCGGCGCATGAATGAATTAAGAGGACGTCGTGCGAGAGCACGATCATGAGTGTCGAGGGCGCGGCGCATGAATGAATTAAGAGGACGTCGTGCGAGAGCACGATTTTTGAGTAAATTGTGAAGAAGTCTCAGGCGGGAACCGCCGTTGTTGTGGATCGTGGCCCAACAGCCCAATTTCGGGGACACTTCGCTTCCCCTGTCTAATCTAAGCAACAGGTAAGGAGCCCCTGGGGAAGCATTCTCATTGAAAAATGCAACGGTTACCGGGCAGGGGGAACCAACAACAAATATTCTTTAGAAACTATAGTTCAACAGTGCTCCCGTGCGATACTTCCTCACGGGTTTACTCCTAAAAGGCCGTGGCCAAAGAGGGCCCGAGACTCAGGGGCCCTCTCGCCTGAGACTTCCTCCGGTTTAGCACCTGAAAGGGGGTCCTTCAGAGCAGTCTCGCCGCTACCTGCGGATGCTGGCGCAGCCTTTTTGCTCGAGGATTCTTTCGCAACAAAAGGGGTTCTTCAGAACCAGGTTGCTGCTACTCGCGGATGCCAGAACAGCCTTTTCGCTTGATGCCTCTTTGCAATCTACCACCACAAGAGTGTCCTTCAAACCATTGTTGCTGCTACTCGCTGGTGCCGGAACGGCCATTTCGCTTGAGACTTCCTCGCGGTCCAGCAGAACAAGGGAACCCGTCAGAGCAGCCTTGCCGCAACTTGCAGAAGCCACAGGACGCTCCATGGCAGGGATCTGTTTGGGGATTCTTTTTCGGTCCTCCAACCCCCAGGAGGCCCCAGAGGTGCCCCAGGAAGCATTTTCTGGATTCGGATCTGTGTTCCCGGAACGCTTTTCGACCCCTCCGCTCCCAGGAAGCCACAGGAGGCTCTGTTCTGTATTGGGATCGTGTTCGGGGAGCGTTGTTCGGCACTCCCGCCCCAAGAAGGCCCCAGTTTTTGTTTGTTCTGTATTGGGATATCTATGCGTTCGGGGAACGCTTTTCGGCCCCCCCCGCCTCCAGGAGGCACCAGGAGTTCCAAAGAGGCACCAAACGAGATTTTTCTGTATTGGGATATGCGTTCGGAAAGTGCTTCTCGGCCCCCCGTAGGCTTCGCCCTGGTAGGCTGCGCCCCCATAGGCTTCGCCCCCATAGGCTTCGCCGCCTTTTTCTGGGGCTTGTGCTTTACGTGCGTTTCCATGGATTACCCTTCTCCTAAGGCTCGAGGCTCGAAATCTTTGTGTTCGTGTATGATCCAATCTATTCAATTCGACTGGGGCTCGAGTCCTTTGTGTTCACTGTGCTCGTGCATGCATCGGCCCAAAGCTTTAATGTTATGGTGTTTCTCGCCGCGCGGTGGACGGCGCAAATATTGCGATGGCGGCGGACACCGGCGGTAGTGACAGCGCGCCTTCCGAACCCATAGCCCCCCGTAAAAACCTAGCATGGTAATATTCCTTCGTGGATCGGGCAGGATCCCGCCGAAGTGAATCCTTCTCAATATACAAAATTTGATTCAGCCAGGTCAGAATCCCACTCCGTCAAGTATAAAGTAACTCAAGAAAGTCCCTGGCTCTTACAAAGATCGCGCCGTGTTGGGATCGGCTGGACGCAAGCCGGGGTTCATAAGTTCACGGACTCCAATTGTGGTGGGGCCGTCTTGATGCCGTCGTCAGACGATGCGCGCCATCCTGTCGCCGCGGACCCTTCGCCAGGGCCTCTTGAAGCCATGTTGGGTCATCATGAAATCAACTTGCATGATATGCACGTCGCGGGACCACCCACTGCGTCGACTTGCGAACGATGTTGGGTGCATGTTGGCCTTGTCGTCAGGGCGTTTTCATATCGCACTCGCGTCATGTTTGGATTGTGCGGGCGTCGCTCGGTCAGTTAGGAATCGCCCTTGCTGTGCCTGGGTCCATCTTGTGGACTCGAGGCCGTCTCGGCATCGCCCGCTGCTCATCAGACTGGTCATCGCACAGGCAGCCCGAGACTCTCAATATGCCCTGTTGGGATCACGTTGGGCCACGGGGTCATATCAGTTTCGTTTGGAAATCATCGTCGGTGGCTTGGGGTCCTGATGATACCACGTGGGGCTATGTGGTGACGCGGTCATTGCGTGCACTTGTGCGTGCGTCCCCGTGAGATATTCCAGGGACACGTTGTTGGAGCCAAGTATTGCCCTTCCCCTGGGGCTCGAACATTTCGTGTTTCGAATCCCCACCGCTCCCCATACTCGCACTGTGCTTTTTGTGTCATGTGTCGTGCGAGCTTAAAGTGGGAATGTGCCTCGGCCGATGTGTTGGTTCAACCCCCTTGGGCGGGAGATCTGGGCGTGGGAATCTCGGCGCCCCATTTCATGCAGTTCCCCCTCAAGAGGGTGTGGTATCATGATGGATGCATGAGGCACGTTGAAGCATCTCGCACGAGGGTAACAATATTGCTGTTGCGTTGCGTTGTTGTCGTCCCCCCCGCCCGGCTCCTCATTCTTATCCGCCTCTGTGGTCTTTTTGTTTGTCAGCAAATGATATACGCTCTCTTCAAAACAGCCTGACGTGTGTGATGTATATTCTCCATCTTCTCCTCGCTCAGGGGACCTCTTTGGTAAAGGGTCTTGTGCAGGAGCTGTGTCCCGATGTTGACGGATGGCATGGCGGCAGAACGTGCGGATAGCGGGCGCTCCCTGTTCCAACTATCGAAGCGCGGACCGCGCCTCCGAGTCAGTCTGGTGCATCGTCCTCTGAGGAGGCGTAAAAAGGCTTGAGCCAAGCTCCCGCAGCGGCGGACGGATGGATGGTAAAATTATCCCAGTGCGACCTACCTAGGAGTTGGAGCATTTAGGAAAGCAACATCTACATCTACACCGACAGCTACATTTACATATGCACCTGCATCTATGCTATGCTATGCTATGGTATGCTGCGCTATGCTATGCTATGCTATGCTATGCTATGCTGAGCTATGCTATGCTATGCTATGCTAATGCTGCGCTCCGCTATGCTGGGCTGCGCTAAACTAAGCGAAGGTAAGCTAAGTTATGCTAAACTAAGCTAAGCTAAGTTAGGCTAGGCTAAGCTAAGCTAAGCTCAGCCAAGCTAGACCAAACCAAGCAAAGCAAAGCTAAGCTAAACTGATATAGGTTAAGCTAAGCTAGGCTAAGCTACGACGAGGTAAGCTAAGCTAAGCTGGGCTAAAATGATATAAGCTAAGCTAAGCCAAGCAACGCTAAGCTCAGCTAGACTCAGCTAAGATAAGCTAAGCTAAGATGAGATAAGCTAAGCTAAGCTAAGCTAGGCTAGGCTAGGCTACGCTCAGCTATGCTAAGCTAAGCTAAGCTAAGCTGAGCTAAGCTAAGCCGAGCTAAGCTAAGCTAGGGGAACCCAGGGGGCGCAACTGGGGGAACCGCGGGGCGGGGACTGGGGGAACCGCCCGGGGCGTTTTACACTGCCCGGCCCCTTTAAGCAAACAAAGTAAGAACCCTCTAGGCAGAGCCTAGGTAGGGAATAACTCAAGCCCCAAAGGGGGGTCCCTCTGTGGACAGGGGGACAAGGGGACATCCCCATCCGGGCAGGTCGCCAACGGAAATCCGGGGGGAGGTCCCGCCTGTGGTGGGGGGTGGTCCCAGGTCAGAATGCCGACCCCCACGGTATCCCAGCGGGCCCCGGAGGGGGGCGTCAGCGGGCGTCCCAGGGGATGCCCAGCCTTCAGGGTCGGCGGCACCAGCCGTAGGGCCTCTACGATAACGCTGGCAGGAGCGAATGATACAGTCGGACCTAAGCCAGAAGAGCATCCCTCAAAAACATGAGACCCTCCGCCGGTCCAAACTGAAGAACATTCGAGGGCGCCCTCCCCCAGGACGCACAAAAACATCAAACAAACGCGAAGAACATCAGGTTACCCTCCCCGAACCGACCTCGATCTTATACCTCGGTCCGACTGTATCGATTCTTCTGACCCCGACAGCCGCTGAGCCTGCCCAAGCCCAGGCACGACCCCAGACCCCTGACGTCGTGATTTGTTCATGACGTGGACCCCCAGCGGTCTGGACCCCCTGCCCAGGACCGGTTTTCCATCCCGAAGCAGATTGTGACGGTCCCGAGACCCGGTGAGGGCACTCAGGGGCCGAAAACAGCCGAGAACCTCCCGTGGTGATTTTTCCACGACCCGAGGGGGTCTGGGACTGCATCGACTCTTCTGCTCCCGACGGCCGCTGAGGCCCTTCCCCAGCACGGCGTGCGTGTGCGTGGCGGCCAGCGCGGCGAGGAGCAGCGCGGCGGTCAGCAGCTGCGCGCTGCGCGCCTCGGACGCCACCCGGAGCTCCGTGAGGCCGAAGAGCGCCGCCGAGGCCACGGCGGGCACGATGGAGCCCGCCTCTCTCTTGAGCAGGGCATCGGCCACAGAATCGATGCACCCCAGCATGGATTTTCCCGTCGGACCTAGAAAACAAAGACGTAGAACGCTCGCAGATCTACACCCTGCGAAATGCTTAAGAAATCATGGGTTAAGAAATTCATAGTCTCAGAACTTGAGTACAAACCCCAAAAATCCATTCAAATCTTAGGATTTACATTGAAAAGTTAAGAATAATCGAGACTCTGGACGAAAACTTAAGTTTTCTTAAGCATCGCCTAAGGTGTACAGATCGTCCTGCGCGTGTTCGCAGGTTCAACGACGAGCAGGCCAAGTTCGGGGCAAGTCCATTCTGCAGCCGATCCCCTGCTCGAGCCCGTCGGCGGCGCGCCGAGGCCCGGACCCCCCCGTCTGGGTCATTCGAGTGGGGGGTCGCTTGCAGAATTGACTTGCCCCAGACTTGATGTTCTCGTCGTTCCAACGAGAGAATGCGCAGAACAGTCGGCAGAGCTTCGAAGCAGTGCAGGTCTGTTTCGTAGATTCGACGGGGCATCCACTTCAGGGTAGCTCGACTCTGCAGTTCATCCCCTACGCGAGTCATGGAAAACTCACGACTGGCGATTTTTCGCAGTGCCCGACCTCGTGAGGCCCTCACTGCACCCCCTTGGGCCCTCGAAAGCGGACCCGGGGCGAAGAAGGGGAACGGGTATGCGTGGACCTCTGGGGGTTCACCTTCAAAGAAAATCACGTCGTCGGAGATCTGGGCGGGGGGGGGGGGCAGGCAGAAGGGGCGGGGCGGGCCTTCTCGAAGAGGCTCAGGAGGCCTTCGGCCTTCTGTGCAGCCTTCCGCGTCTTGCCCGCCGACGCGGAGGGCTGCTCAGAAGGCGGGAGGACTCTGGAGCAGCCGGCCTGCAGCCTGCTGCGAGGGCCCGCCCCCCCTTCCCCCCCCCCGGGGCGCGCCGCCGAGCCTTGTTCATCTGGGCCATTGCTCGGCAGGCGGGGGGCGGGGGCTATACCAAGACTACGCCAACTGTCCTCTGCCCACCGGCCCTTCTGCTGTTGGTGATTCCCCCCCCCCTCCCATCCAACCATCGCCACTCACCCAACGAAGTCTCGTGGCAATGCCGCAATCCGGTGTCCGGGCAGCCCCGCAGAAGCACGGGCGACAGAATGCACAGGAACGCGACAACTCCAATGCCGAGCTGCGCTCAACACTAGTCTTGGTCTGGTCAGGGTCGGTTGGGCCGTATCCGCCGCCGTGCCACGAGGCTCCAAGTGTGGAGTATCCTCGGCTCCCTTCGAATCCTCGTTGTCGAGAATCCCACCAGCCCTCTGGGCGTTGACGAGATTCCCACCAAACCCCCTTCTTCAACGTCGGGAAATGGTTTATCAATGTTCCTCATAGAGAGACACCTTCTCCCCCAGGCGACCGGCAGCCAATCAGGACCAATGAGACCCCCCCGCCACCATCCCCTGTAAAAATCAATGCGAACTGCACTTTGCCTCCAACAAGTCTGCAGCATGCGCGGGCGCTCCGAGACCACTCTGCGTGGGTTTTTGATAGGGGCGGCGGGTGTGCCTGTACATTGCTCGCTGCGCGCAGGCCAGCCATCCCTGTCAATTCGGGGATGGACAGACCCCCCTTTATAGCAAAACGTGGTTTGGTGAAAACGACCTGAGGCCCAAACCTGGCGGGCGCAAGCCTGGAAAAGAACGGCCACGGCGCCCTCTCGAGAACCGAAGACGGACAATGCACGAATCGACGTGTCACTGTTGGGGGTTCTGTCCCCCCCCCGGTCAGTGGAGCCCTACAAAACACAGCGTGCCTTCGAGTCCGGAGCACGCGCGGGCGCCCGGCGACCACCGCGCCTCGGTTTGTTTGAGAGCGACGCCCTGCTGCCCGCGCTGCCGCGCCTGGGCCTCCCGAGCGCCGGGCTCACCGGGAACCCGTGGGGCGCACGTGGCGGGGTGCGGCGTTCCGAGGCGACATGCAGAGACTCGGGTGCTGCTTTAGCAGTGGAAGCAATCGGTTTTCAAAATGTTTGGTCTTTAGAAGCTCTGCGTGGCGACGCCCCCGTCGCCACGCGTGCCCTCTGCGTGCCTGCGGGGGCGCCGCCACGTAGAAGTACTGGAGACCGAGCATTTGGGGCGTCGCTACGCACGCCCTCTGGGTGGCTGCGACCATATGTTAAAACACTAAAGCCAATTAAATTCACGAACAAAAATACCTAACTGTGTGTTTGGAGGGCGGGTGGGAGTGAGCGAGGCGGCTTGCGGGCGGAGCAAGTGTCTTGATCACTGTTCCTTATCAAAATATGCCGCCTCCCCACCCGGCCGGCGGCCAACCCGGAACCATGCCGACTCCATGCGGGCCCGCCCCCCACCATCCCTGTCAAAAAACAAAACAAGCCGCGTTCTGCCTCCACATTTTGAGCATGCGCGGCCAACCCGATGCGCCCCTTCCCCCATCATCCCTGTCAAAACAGAATGCAAAGTGCACTGTGCGGCAAAGTCTTGAGGCATGTTCGTGAGGCACGCGAGCACTTTGTATTGTTTTTGACAGGGACGGCGGGGGTGTCAGCGTATTCCCTGCTGCGCGCAGGGCCACCACCCCTGACAAAAAAAACCAGCCGAAAAACCAAACTATCTGCTGTTTTGGGCATTGTCGCTGTCTGCACCGCGTTCGGTGGAGCTCCCTGTGGGGCTACCAAACGTGTGAGGGGTGTGCCAAATGGGCGCGGTGGTGGGTGCATGCGAACGCTGGCATGTGGGCCTTCGGTGGAGCTCCCTATGGGCCACGAAACGTGTAAGCGGCGTGCCAAGATGGGTGCGGTGGGCGCATGCGGACGCTGGCATTTGGGCCTCCGGTGGGGCTCCCTGTGGGGTCACGAAGCGTGTGAGGGGTATGCCAAAATGGGTGCGGTGGGCGCTTGCGAAGGCTGGCATTTGGGCCTTCGGCGGGTCTCCCTATGGGGCCACGAAACGTGGGCGTGCCAAAAGGGGTGTGGTGGGCGCATGCGAAGGCTGGCAATTGGGCCTTCGGTGGGGCTCCCCATGGGGCCACGAAGCGTGTGAGGGGCGTGCTATAGTGGGTGGGGTAGGCGCGTGCGAACTCTGGCATTTGGGCCTTCGGTGGGGTGCCCCATGGGGCCACGAAGCGTGTGAAGGATGTGCCTAAATAGGCGCAGTGGGCGCTTGCGAACGCTGGCATTTGGGCCTTCGGTGGGGCTCCCTATGGGCCCCCGGAACGTGTGAGGGGTGTTCCAAAACGGGTGCGATGGGTGCATGCGAACGCTGGCATTTGGGCCTTGGGTGAGGTTCCCTATGGGACCATGAAACGTGTGAGGGGCGTTCCAAAACGGGTGCGGTGGGCGCGTACGAACGCTGGCGTTTGGGCCTTCGGTGGGGCTCCCTATGGGGCCACTAAATGAGTTGGGGGCGTGCCAAAATGGGTGCGGTGGGCGAATGCGAAGGCTGGGGATTGGGCCTTCGGTGGGGCTCCCTATGGGGCCCCGGAACGTGTGAGGGGTGTGCCAAAATGGGTGCGGTGGGCGCGTGCGAACGCCGGCATTTGGGCCTTCGGTGGGGTTCCCCATGGGGCCACGAAACGTGTGAGGGGTGTGCCACATGGGTGCGGTGGGCGCATGCGAACGCTGGCATTTGGGCCTTTGGCGGGGCTCCATATGGAACCACGAAACGTGTGAGGGGTGTGCCACATGGGTGCGGTGGGCGCACGCGAACGCTGGCATTTGGGCCTTCGGCCGGGCTCCCAGTGCGGCCACGAAACGTGTGACGGTTGTGCCACAATGAGTGCGTTGGGCGCATGCAGGAAGGCCAGAAAAGGCCCAAAACATTGTTTTTCCTTTGGTTTGTGGAGGATTGTGGCATTTGCTTCTTCTCGGCAATCCGAAAGCCCGATACGGCCCCAGAGCCCCCAAAGATCGCCGAAAGATCGCCCAAGAGGCCTCCAATGTGGCCCCAGAACGGCCCAAAAGGCCCCCAAGACGGCCCCAAGAGGCCCCCAAGACGGCTCAGGAGGCTTTTAAGACGCCCGAGATGGCCTCCAAGACGGCCCTGGAGCATTCCAAGAGGGCCCCAAGTCGGCCCAGAGTGGCCCCCAAACGGCTTCCGACGGCGTCGGACAGGCCAGGAGTCCACCAACACGGTCGAAGATGGCCCTAAGATGGCCCAAGATGGCCCAAGAGGCTTCCAAGAGGGTCTCCAGGAAGGCCCGAAAATGCCAAAATCATTGATTTCCTTATAGTTTTTGAAGGATTGTGGATTTGCTTCTTCTCGGCCTTCCGACGACCCGAGACGGCCCAAGAGCCCCCAAAGATCGCCCAAGAGGCCCACGACGGCACCCAGAGGCCCCCAAGACGGCCCAAGAGGCCTCCAAGACGCTCAAGATGGCCTCCAAGACGGCCTGAGAGCCCTCCAATGTGTCCTCCAAGAAGGCCCAAAAGGATCAAAATTGCCTTCAGACGGCCAGAATGACTTTCAAGATGCCCACGTGTTCCCCGAAGGCTTTCCAAACCGATTCGGGGAACACATGGTCCGATAGCTTGGCAGGTCTGGCCACAACGTTCGGCCACATAGGCGCTTCCACAAAGGCAGGGGGCGGCGGTGATTCGCCGTAGGCGTCTTCGATCCGCCGCCCCCTGTCGATTCATCGCAGGGGTGCCTGGCGTGCGAAACTATTTCGGTTTTGGTTTTGGTTCTTTTTCCAAAGCAACCCCCCCTGGCGCTTCGACCCGTCCCGCCGGGGTCCCGGAAGGCCGCGCAAATCACCTCAGCGTCCACAAAAAATCCTCCAAGACGGCTCAAAATGGCCTCCAAAATGGCCACGTTGGCCCAAGATGGCCTCCAAGTCCGCCCAAGATGGTCCAAGATGGTCCAAGACGGCCTCCAAGACGGCCCAAGAGAGTCCAAGACGGCCCAAGACGGCCCAAGAAGCCCCCCAGAGGCCTCCAAGACGGCCCAAGAGGCCTCCAAGAGGTCCTCCAGGAGGGCCCGAAGAGGCCAAAATCATTGATTTCCTTAGGTGTTTGAAAGATTTTGGCATTCGCTTCTTCTCGGCTTTCCGACGACCCAAGACGGCCCAAGAGGCCCCGAAGATCGCCCCCACAGCGCCCAAGAGGCCTCCAAGATGGCCTGAGGACTGCCCAAGAGGCCCCCAAGACGGCCCCAAGAGGGCACAAAGACGACCCAAGAGGCCTCCAAGACGCCCAAGATGGCCTCCAAGACGGCCCTGGAGCACCCCAAGAGGGCCCCAAGTCGGCCCAGAAAGGCCTCCCAAACTGCTTCCGGCGGCGTCAGACGGGCCAGGAGTTTACCAAGATGGCCGAAGTTGGTTCGAAGCTGGCCCAATACAGCCCAAAAGGCCTCCACGAGGGCCTCCAGGAAGGCCAGAAATGGCCCAAAAAACTAATGTTCCAGATGTTTTCAAATGATTTCGGCATTTGCTTCGTTTCGACCTTCCGACGGCCCGATACGGCCCCAGAGCCCCCAGAGATTGCCCAAAGATCGCCCAAGAGGCCTCCAATATGGCCCCAGAACGGCCCAAAAGGCCCCCAAGACGGCCCCAAGAGGCCCCCAAGACGGCCCAGGAGGCTTTTAAGACGCCCGAGATGGCCTCCAAGACGGCCCTGGAGCATTCCAAGAGGTCCCCAAATCGGCCCAGAGAGGCCCCCCAAACGGCTTCCGACGGCGTCGGACGGGCCAGGGGGCCCACCAAGACAGTAAGATGGCCCAAGACGGCCCAAGAGGCTTCCAAGAGGGCCTCCAGGAAGGCCCGAAAAGGCAAAGTCCATGAGGTTTCCAAGGATGGTGGCATTTGCTTCTTTTCGGCCTTCCGACTGCTCGAGACGGCCCAAGTGCCCCCCGAGATCGCCCAAGAGGCCCAAGACGGCCCCAAGAGGCCCCCAAGACGGCCCAAGAGGCCTCCAAGACGCTCAAGATGGCCTCCAAGACGGCTCAATAGCCCTCCAAGACGTCCTCCAAGAAGGCCCGAAAGGGTCAAAATGGCCTCCAGGCGGCCAAGATGACCCTCAAGATGCCCACGTGTTCCCCGAAGGCTTTCCAAACCGATTCGGGGAACACGTGGTCCGATAGTATTGGCAGGTCTGGCCCCAACGTTCTGCCGAACAGGCGCTTCCACAAAGGCAGGGGGCGGCGGTGATTCGCCATAGGCGTCTTCGATCCGCCGCCCCCTGTCGATTCATCGCAGGGGTGCCTGGCGTGCCAAACTATTTCGGTTTTGGTATTGGTTCTTCTTCCAAAACAGCTCCCCCTGGCGCTTCGGCCCGTCCCGCCGGGGTCCTGGAACGCCGCGTACACCACCACAGCATCCGCAAAAAATCCTCCGAGACGGCTCAAGATGGGCTCCAAGATGGCCACGTTGGCCCAAGATGGCCTCCAAGATGGTCCAAGATGGCCTCCAAGTCCGCCCAAGATGGTCCAAGACGGGTGATTCGCCGTAGGCGTCTTCGATCCGCCGCACCCTGTGGCTTGCCACAGGGGTGCGGCCGATCCCGCCGGCCACCCAGAAGCACCCGCACCGCCGCGGAAGATAATGCCCGCCTCGCGGCCGAAAAAATGCCCGGAGCGCAGATTTTGTTCTGCCTCGAAGGTGGCCCCAAGATGGACTCCAAGACGAGTCGGGTCGGGCGAAAGGGGGGGGATTGCAAAAGGGGGGTTTGAGAATCAGCTCACGTAGCTGATTTTCCCGGCGCCTCCCGGCGCCGGAGGCAGCCATGTATCGAGGAATGGGCCTCTCGGTGGGGCCGAAACCAGCTGCATGCAGCAGATTTCGTAACCCCCCCTTTCCCTATCCCCCCTTTTCGCTCGGCCCGAACGAGTAAGATGGCCTCCAGGACGGCCAAGATGGCCCCAATGGAGCCCAAGATGGCCGCAAAATTCCTCCGAGAGAGCGCGTTGCACGGGCGCTTTCCTCGGGAACATTCGGCGGCGCGTTTCGAACCAGGGGGTGCCCCCCCCCCCCCCCAACACTCCGTCGATCAGAACCAGGGAGACTCCCCCCCTAACCCACCCCCCCTCCCGACCCCCCCCCCCTTCCCAACGGGGTGGTGGGGTACAACCCCCCCCCCTCACCCGGCGCCGGCGCCAGCGCTGGCGGCCGCCGCAACGCCAACGCAGCGACGATGACCAGTGAGGGCCCAGGAGGGGGGGGTGGAGGGGAGGGGGGGGTTCAAACCCCTCCCATTGCGCCGGCGCCGGCGCTGGCGGCGGCCAGCAGCGCCGACGGCGGGGACGCAGCGACGATGACCAGAGAGAGCCCAGAGGCCGCAGAAGAAACACACAAATCGCCAGATCGAGCCCTCGCATGCTCCTCAGACCCCGAGACCCTTCTGACGAGACCTCAAGAGGCATCCATTCGAATTCTCACCCAAAGCCAGAACACAGTGGCGGGAAGAGCCGAAGGCCACACCACCACCACCATCACCACAGACCACCATACCACCACCACCACCGCCAGCACCACAACCACCACCACCACCACAACCTACCACCACCACCACAACCAACACCATCACCACCATCAAAAACGCCACCACCACCAGCACCACCACAATCCACCACAACCCACCACAACCACCACCACCAAGCCACCACCAAGCCACCACAAACCACTACACCATCACCACCACCATCACCTCCACCGCCACCACCACCATCACCACAACCCACCACCAACACCACCACCACAAACCACCACGCCACCACCACCAAAACCGCCACCACCACCACCACCAGCCACCACCTACCTCCCACCACCACCACCACCACTACCAGCAGCAGCACCACCACCACCACCACAGCCCATCACCATCACCACCACGACCACCACAACAAACCACCACACCACCACCACCTCCAGCACCACCGCCACCACCACGACCACAACCATCACCACCTCAACCCACCATCACCACCAAACCACCACACAATCACCACCACCACAGCCACCACCACCACCACCAACAGCTCACCACCACCACCACCGCCAATACAACAACCTAACACCACTACCACCACCACCACCACTAATCTACCACACCACCACCACCACCACTGCCACAACCACAACGACTGCTACCAGCAGCACAACCCATCACCACCACCACCACAACCACCACAAACCACCTCGCCACCACCACCACCACGACCGCCACTACCACCAGCACCTCCGCCGCCGCCGCCAGCCGCCGCCGACGCCGGCGCCAGCCCGAGGAGAGGAAGAGAGGAGAAATAGGGGAAGGGGGGGGGGGTCCGGCCCCCCCCCCCCCTCCAAGCGACCACAGAACGCGCTCTTTCAAACCTCCAAGACGGCCCAATATGTGTCCAACACGGCCTAAGATGACTTCAAAATGGCCCAGCAAGGCTCAAGAAGCCTCCAAGAAGCCTCCAAGACGGCCCAAGAGGCCTCCGAGAGGACCTCCAGGACGGCCCCCAAAAGCCACAATCATCAATTTCATATGGGTTTCGAAAGAATTTGGCGCTTGCTTATTTTTGGCTGTCCGACGGCCCAAGACGGCCCCAGAGGCCACCAAGAGCTCCCTCCCAAGAGGCCTCAGAGATGGCCCCCCAAGAAGCCCCTAAGAGGGCACCAAGACGGTACAGGAGACGCCCAAGATGTCCTCCGAGATGACCCTTAAGCGCTTCGCGCTTCAAGGCACCCAAGAGGTGGCTCCAAGAAGCCTCCAGGAAGCTCCCAGGAGGCCCAAAGAGTGCCCCAAGAAGCTCCCAAAAGGCCTCCTCCTCCTCCTCTTTCCTCCCTCTTCTCCTCGTCTTCTTTCTCCCCACGTGATTCCGGAAGGGTTTCTACTACGGCTGGGGGAATACACGGTCCAATAGCTTGGCCGAGCTCTGGCCGCAACGATCGACCACATGGGCGCTTCCAAAAGGCAGGAGGCAGTGGTGAACGCCGAAGGCGTCTTCGATCCCCTGCCCCTGTAGCCTGTCATAGGGGTGCGTGGCGTGCCACCGCCCCCCCCCTGAAGATCGACCAGAAGCAACACTGCATGTGCTCCTCCGCCCAGGATGGATCCAGGAGGGTCTCTATTTGGTCCCTGATCGTCATGAAGTCGGTCCAGGGTGGCCTGAATAGTTTCCAAGATGCCTCCCAAACGGCCCCGTCAAGAGGGTCTACGGCGCTCTCTTGCGGGTCTCTTGGGCCGTTCTGAGGGCCCTCGGGGTCGGCCCACGAGGCCAACATTATTGGACCCTTTCCTCCCGTGACGGCCCAAGGGGGCCTCAAGACGACCCAAGAGGGCACCAAGACGGCGTCCGAAGGAACCATGCTGTCAAGAGCGCCCTGTAACAGCCGCCGCAAAAGGCCCCTCAGAGGGACCAGGATGCTAGAAAAGAGGTCAAGCTATAGCCCCGAGGCGGCACCGGGGGGGCTCGCGTGATGGGGGGCGATCAGCGAGGGGGCAGCGAGGACTACAGAAATGAAGGGGCCCTGTGACACACAAATAAATAGACACAAATAACAGGGTTCCCCATATGTTCTCATGCTTTCTGGGCTTTTGTCTTCCCCCCACTTCCCACAGTTTCTCCCATTTTCCAGGGAATCGACGATTAATTGTGTCTGCGTGTTTTTCCCTCCTGAACCTTCCCTCCCCGCCAATACGGACCAGAAAACAAGCAGCACCACCCCACCTGCGGCCCCACGGGCCGTAGCGTGTGCCAGGACATCTGGCGTGGGTTTTCGCATGGCGTGCGCTGCGGCCCCCGATGGGCCGCAGTGCAACATGGAGGGCCGTAGGTGGGGTGGTTTCGTTTGTTTTTTGGCCGACAATGATCGTCCCGCAGTGAGCGACGCCCACGGGCTCCTCCCCAGTGCTCCCCGGGGAGGTTTTCCCAATAGCGGGGGGAACGCGCAATCCACGAGCGTCGTCGCACCCTCGCTCGACGTTTCGCGGCATTCGCCATAGGCGTCTCCGACCGTTCACAAGAACAACACAACCGCATAATTATCACAAGCTTTCGGAGGTCCGCGTGGATTTCTTAGATCGCTGCTTGACCTTCTCCTTGGAACGTGGGTTGCGCCAGGGGCGGCGCTGGAGGCGCCGCCAGGGGGGGTCCAACGCAGATCCGAGAAATGCGCGAGGGCCTTCGGACATTTGACTGTGTGAAGCTAAGCGTCTTCGGTAGTTGGCGTACCCCGATGTACAAGTGGAAGAATCGCAACGGGCCCGGAGGGCGGAACCGTATCTGGCGGGGGGTCTGCCTTGCCGCGGGACGGCCTCGACCCACAAACGGCCACAGAGGCGGAGAAGGGGCGGCGGACGCTGATGATGATAAGGACGGCGATGATGATGATGATGATGATGATGATGATGATGATGATGATGATGATGATGATGATGATGATGATGATGATGATGGTGGTGATGATGATGATGATGATGATGGTGGTCATGATGCTGTTGCTGATGCTGACGATGATGAGGATGCTGATGATGGCGATGGTGATGGTGAGGGAGAGGAGGAGGAAGAGGAGGAGATAGAGGAAGCGGAGAAGAAAAAGGAGGACGAGGAGGAGGATGAGGAGGAGGAAAAGGAGGAGGAAGAGGAGGATGATGAAGCAAAAAGAAGAAGAGGAATAAAAAGAAGAGGGCGACAGCGTCGGAATGAGGGAGGAGGATGAGAGGGATGATAATGAAGATGCGAATGAAGATGAGGATCCGGATGCGGATGAAGAGAGGCGGAGGATGATGGAGATGATGACGATGATGATGAGGAGGATGGGAGGGGGAGGAGGAAAAGGTGGATGCCCTCGATCACTCTCCACTCGTTTCCTAGTTTTACGTTGCCTCTTGCCAACTCGAAGCTGGCCAACTGTTCGCCAGAACCGTACTTCTTAGGCCGGCCTTTTACACGTCGCATGCGCCGCACAGACATTCTCTTCAGGTCGCGACATCCCTGTCAACACGGCAACCATTACAGGCCAGCCTTACTCAACTCATCTTCTCTTTGCGAAGGCCGACATCTACTGTTTAAGATAGCCCACTCAACGCGACAACTACTTAGATATGGGGTGAGAAGCGGGTCGCTGCTGAGAGGGAAGCGACAATGTGCGTCAGCCAACTCATGCGCTGCATGCCGCATGCCTCCTGTTCCCACTCTCTAGCGCCGCCCTGCATCTTACATGTTACCCTGTCCTCGCCTCTCACCTAGCAGCGCCATTCTCCCTGGGGGGGATAAGAGCCACGCTGGTTGCCACAGAGACGGAACACCCCTCCCTAAGAATGACCGAGTGCAGGCAATCTGGTGCTTCGTGGGCAACCCCGAGAAGATGCGCTACCGAGTGCAGGCCCGATCTTTCGTACTGCTGACACTGTTTGTTTCTCGAATGGGCGCTGCGCACGACAACCCTTCCTTGTAAATCGTCAGCACGCAGCGCCAGGCCATGCGCATGCAAGAGCAAAGCGTGGAATATGATCGGCCCACGAACCGGGGCAATTCCAAACATGTTGCGGGCATTCCATACAACAGCAAAGAGAAGTTTCTTCGGCCCGAAGAGGAGGAACCGCGCTGCCCCAATCTCCCCCAGAACGAGCTGCGCCTCACAGAACAGGCCATCGCGCAAGAGAGAAGTAATATCCTGCGTCGGCCACCCAGCCCCCGACCGGGCACCCTCAAAAGCACACTTGAATTCGTCAAAGGCTCAACTGGCCTAAGACCTGGTCCGCAATCGCCCGCTGCGCACCTCCGATGCCGATGGCCTCGAAATTACACGCGAGCGCGATGACCGTGGGCATCTCGAGCGGCGACGTGGGTTTCGGAACGCGACAGAGCTTCGAGACATCACCCGAAACCTCGTTCGAAGCCAAAATGAGCCCGTTGCCGACCGACCAGTCGACAGACCACCCTTAGAGCACTGGAGTATTCTTGAAGAGACACTCGAGCTCGTTACGAATCTTCCCTGTGACAATCAACTGCGAGTTGGTCTCCGCATCGCGGAGCGGGTTCAAACGCGTGGCCCTGGGGCCCTCGAGGGCCTTGAACTCGAAGCCTCCAGGGTATTGCTCGCGAGACGTGTCAATCGTCTTCGCGGCTGCATCAGCAGAGGGAAGGGCAATCGTGACTTTCTCCGGGAAGTTCTGAGGCGTCACGGACATGGCCACCTTCACCTCTCCTTCAACACACACAAGGCGAATCTCAGTACCCGCCTGCTGGAGAACCTTGCGACTGAACTCGTCACCGAGCCCCGCAAGAACGGTCTTGGACAAGAGATCGGGATGTCCACCGCGCACAGACGGAACAAACCCTCGGAACTTCTTGTTCGGACCACTGAAGCCACCCTCATCAAAACCCACCCCGGAGAAACTAGAGCTCCAATTCCAAATCTTCTCAAGCTTTTCTTCCGTCTTCGAGATGTTGACACGCTGCTCTTCAAGACCCTTCTGTCAAGCAGCAGCTTAGCTGCAAGCTCGCGAACCTGGGCCAACACCTTCGAGCAAGACTCATTCATCTTGGCCACCTTGGCGGTCAGCTCCTTGATCGCCGCACCAGTCGGAGCCATCCCAACCCCTGCCGCGAGATCAACCGGGCTGGACATCAACGGAAAGCAAGCAAGACAGGCAGCCAGCTACGCCTTCGGCTCAAGCTCCCCGTCCGCTGTGACCAAGGTCGAAGCGCAAAGAACGTACGTTTCGGTCTTGAGCCAACACGGCTACGGATGATGATGCTGCTGATGCTGATGCTGATGTTGATGATGATGACGATGTTGCCGACGATGATGA